TCTCCAATAGTGAACATTCAGAAAGAGAAATCAAGAAAGCCTGCCCATTTACAGCAGGCACCAAAAAAATAAAATACTTAGAAACTGAGTTAACCAAGGATGGGAAAAATCTCTATAATGAGAACTACAAACTACTGCTGAGAGAAATTAAAGAGGATACAAGAAGATGGAAAGATATCCCATGGTCTTGGATTGAAAGAATTAACATTGTGAAAATGTCCATACTACCCAAAGTGATATACAAATTCAATGCAATCCCCATCAAAATTCCACTGACATTTTTCTCAGAAATGCAAAAATCTCTTCAGACATTTATATGGAATAACAAGACCATGCATAGCCAAAGCAATTCTGAGCAAAAAAATAAATAAAGCTGGAGGCCTAACAATACCTGACTTTATACTACAAAGCTATAATAACCAAAACAGCATGGTACTGGCATAAAAACAGACACACTGATCAATAGAATAGAATAGAGAATCCAGAAATCAACCCACACGCCTACGGCCATCTGATCTTTGACAAAGGCACCAAGCATATACACTGGGGAAGGGACCACCTCTTCAGCAAATGGTGCTGGGATAACTGGATATCCATATGCAGGAGAATGAAACTAGACCCATACCTCTCACCATATACTAAGATCAACTCAAAATGGATTAAAGAATTAAGTATACACCCTGAAACAATAAAACTTCTCAAAGAAAACATATGAGAAACACTTCACGAAGTAGGACTGAGCACAGTCTTCATGAATACAACCCCCAAAGCACAGGCAACCAAAGGAAAAATAAATGGGATTATATCAACCTAAAAATCTTCAGCACAGCAAAAGAAACAATTAACAGAGTTAAAAGACCACGAACAGAGTGGGAGAAAATATTGCAAAATACACATGTGACAAAGGATTAATATCCAGAATATACAAGGAACTCAAACAACTTTACAAGAAAAAAACAAGCAACCCAATTAAAAAAATGGGCAAAAGAGCTAAGCAGGCATTTCTCTAAGGAAGATATACAAATGGCCAACAGTCATATGAAAAAATGCTCAACATCACTCAGCATCCGGGAAATGCAAATCAAAACTACACTGAGATACCATCTCACCCCAGTTAGGATGGCTAAAATCCAAAAGACTCTGAACGATAAATGCTGGCGAGGATGCGGAGAAAAAGGAACTCTCACACAGTGTTGGTGGGACTGCAAAATGGTGCAGCCTCTATGGAAAATGGTATGGAGGTTCCTCAAACAATTGCAGATAGATCTACCATATGACCCAGCTATCCCACTGCTGGGAATATACCCAGAGGAATGGAAATCATCAAGTCGAAGGTATACCTGTTCCCCAATATTCATCGCAGCACTATTTACAATAGCTAAGAGTTGGAACCAGCCCAAAGTCCATCATCAGATGATACAGAAAATGTAGTATATCTACACAGTGGAATACTACTTTGCTATAAAAAAGAATGAAATACTGCCATTTGCAACAACATGGATGGACCTAGAGAAAATTATATTAAGTGAAATGAGTCAGGCACAGAAAGAGAAATATCACATGTTCTCACTTATTTGTGGGAGCTAAAAATAAATAAATAAATACACAAAAAAACGGGGGGTGGGGGAGAAAACATGACAATTACAATTCCTTGAAGTTGATATGACAAGCGAACAGAAAAGACATTGTTGGGAGGGAGGGGTGAGAGGAAGGAGGAAGGGAGGTTTCTGTAATGGGCCACAATAATCAACCACATAGTATATTGACAAAATAAAATTAAATTAAAAATAAAAAGATTTTATCATGATAGATTTGAAAACATTTTTAAGTTACTAAAAATATACACTTCCTGTAATATTTTAACAGTAGACATACAGCAAGAAGGGAAAGTGTTCTTTTCCTAGTTCTTGTCCCTTGAGGTAACCAGTTTGTTATTAAGGATTTGAAATCGCTCATGGATCTGTCCGAGTCCTCATCTCCAGCGCTGCTGTTTGAGCCCAAGATGTACTCCCCCTGAATTCCTGCGACAGCCTCCCAGCTCCTCTCCCTATAGCTGATTCCTAAAATAGCCAGATGTGACCTCCCTCAAGCCTCTGCTGCTTAAAGTCCAGCACCTTAACTCCGCCAAGCGGAGCATCACACATGTGACGGTGAGTGGGTGGCGCTAGAGCTAGGGTCCTTCTCTAGTACACATTTCTAAAGCTCCCCAGCAACTCCAGCTTGGAGCCAGGGAGCCGGCCGCCTGCAAACTTGGTCCCGCTCTGCATCGTGCTACTCGCCTCCCCAGCGCCAGCCCCTCCCGGACACCCTCGTCCGACCACACTGGAGACAGGTCAACCTTTGCGCCCTGTTCCGCTGCCATTCTGGCTTTCACCTAAAGTTCAGCTGTTTCAGGGCATTTTTCCGACCGTCTTTGTCGCCGCCGCCGCCACACTCATCACACGGGTGAGGCCCAAATGTCTGGACCAGCGGCGGGTAGGAGGGGGGCGCTCAACTGCGCAGGCGACTCTCCAGGTCGGGGAACTCTGGGGTCGACCTAGCCCTGCCCCCAGCCTCTGGCCCCGCCCGGAAACCTGACCTGGCCCCGCCCTCAGCCTCCGGCCCCGCCCGGATATCCGGCGGCCCATTCCCTGGCTGGCTGGAAGATGGCGCTTTCTGAGGCGGTTGGTTGCGGGAACCTCCTGCGCTGGCCTCGCGTGTTGCTTTTCGGAGACTCCATCACGCAGGTACCGCCGCCCCGGCCGCGTCTCCAGAGCTCCTTTCTGGGCCCCGAGGGCCCCGCGCCCCGCCTGTCCCCTCCCGAAGGCTGAGGCGCGGGGCCGTTTGTCCAGCCTGCGGCCTCCTGTACCAGCCCAGAGCACCCGCAGCGCCCCGCCACCCCCACTGGCCTCGGTGACACCCCTGCGACCTCTCCTCCTGGTGGCGGGCCCCCTCAGGGATCGTGACGTCTCGGGGGGGTGACGGTGCGGTTTCTGCGGTCCGCGCGCACGTTTGCACCCCGGCCACGCCCCAGCGAGGGACACGGCCACCTGTGCGACTTCCGCCGCGTTTTCCATTCTGCGTCACTTCCCACGGGGACTTTAGGACGACCAGGCACAAGTTGAGGTGCATTGTTTTCATCTCGGTGTCTTCCTTGTCAGTGGCCGTTCTCCTTGGCCGAGCAACGTGATTTGGTGGCTCCCAGGCACGCGCAGCGCTTCGTGTCCCGGGAGCGTCTCCCCAGGGGCCGCCTGCAGGGTCGTGGGCGGCGGCGGCTGCTGCTGCTGCAGCTGCAGTTTCTGTGCAGCCTCTTCCACGCAGAAACACTTCGAACCAATCACCTCTGCACTTCCTCCAACCTGTGGACAGGCTGGGCAATGGTGATCTTGAAAATAAAACGCCTTCAAACGACCATCTTTTCATCCAAGATCATGTCAACTCCCATTAAAAAATTCTTCCGCAGACATGTTCTTAATTCAGGGAGGGAATAAGTTACTTTCCTGTGGGTTTTTTTTTTTTTCCTCTAATGTTCAGACATAACTTTCTAAACCAATTTTTTGTGTCTGTGCCAGTAATTGGTAACATTATATTGGGGCATATGGGGCTTAGGTAAGGGCTTTCCAAATCCCATGGGAATGTGCATCAAAAAATATTCATCCTGAGTTCTGTAATTAATAAAGCACTGATTGCCCTTATTAATTCTTTCAACTGTGGAGAGGTAATATAGCAAGTACTTCATCTCCTAGCTGAACACATAGTTGAGTTTATCTCTTGTACAAAGATTTTTTTTTAAAGTAGCTTTTCTAGATACAATGACTCTAATATTGGGTCTCAGTAAAATGTATATGACAGGTTCAAATCCAACTGAGAGAGAAGAAAAATATACCTTATTTCCTTGCTGCTGGGTGTAGCTATGGTAATCCCCAAAATGACCTTCCCTGAATGAATCAAGTGATGAAGGCCAGAGTCAGGGAGTGCAAAGAAAACAAAAGGGGACTTGCTGATCAGAATTTCCCTTCTACAATGTTCTGATTACACTGATAAGTGGTAATGAGCTTTTCTTTCTGCAGTTTTCTTTTCAGCAGGGTGGATGGGGAGCATCACTGGCTGACAAGCTGGTCAGGTGAGAATAGTTTCTCGATTAATACTTGAGTATTTACTGATGAGAAATGTCATTATCTTAGGAAAAGAGATAGTGAATAATACAGTTTCAAACTATAAATTCTTCCTTTGTTACTCTTTGCTTGCCTTTTCTAGTCAGTGTGTATATATATGCGGGGAGGAACGAGAGAGCCCACATTCTTCCAGTAGACAGATCCTGATACATGTGAGGAAGCAGTTACATGCCCAAGGTCACGCCGAGTCAGAGACGGGGCTGGGGTACAAACCCAGGCAAGCTGGCTCAAAATCCATGGTTGATTTGTTCATTATAAATACAGTACTGTGAATCAAATTATTTTTACGAAGGAAAAAAAATGCCTGTTAATTGGTTTAAATTGAAACACAACTGTTTACTAAAATTATTGAATCAAAACAAAAAGTCTTAAAAATATTCTGTACACTTATCCCAATCTAAACCATTGTTACATTTGAGTTCTGGCTTATTAGTGACTTTCTACCTAACGTAATTGCTCAGGTTAATATCTACTATTCTAAACTCCATTTTAAAAGCATCCCACTGTACCATCAGTGAGTATGCAGACTAAATCATAGCCCCTTTGTATGTAATTATTTATATCTTCACTCACTGAGGAATATGGTGTATTAACCTAGATCTTTGAAAGACAAGGAAGATTAGATACTTCGACTATGTTCTTGCTCTTAACAAAGTGAAACCTGGGGCTGGGTCAGAGCCATGTGACAGGATTAGAAGCCCAGAGAGCATACTCTCACCAAAGGTTGGCAACCAGGGACCGTAAACAGTTCTGTGCCCACAATTCATCTCTTAAAATTTTTCATTTCAGAAAATGTGATATTCTGAATCGTGGATTTTCAGGTTACAATACCAGATGGGCCAAAATTATCCTCCCAAGATTAATCAGGAAAGGGAACAGTTTGGACAACCCAGTGGTAGTTACAATTTTCTTTGGTGCCAATGACAGCGCTCTAAAAGGTAAAGGCATTTTTGTTTCTCTAGCACATTTTTAATCATTTTTATGTTACAGCAAACTTACATCTGTATACTTTTTTAAACTATTTACTTCTCTCCCAGTAGATAAAGTTTTGCCAAACTTATAGTGAGTTCCCTGAGTTTATTTAAATATGCATTTCTTCTGGCTTTAATGTCAGTGGATTTTATTCTATACTCGTTTTCTACCCGCCTTGGTTATTGGCAGACCTAAAATTGCAAAGATTTTAGTGTTTTCTAGAGTCTGTTAGTGCCATGCTAAATTTCTAGTGTTTTTCTCTCTTTAGTTCATACAGTTGGCAGCAGAGGGCTCAAGATGTACACCTTGCAGTTTGCATAGCCCTGATGGGAAAGGAGAGTATCTCAGGGCAGCAACAGCCCTGATCTAGGCTAGGCTTGAATCCCAGGGGTGAGTAAACATGGGTTTGGAAAAGGAGGCAGGTCTCTCCTTGTATTCTGTAGAATTGCTACTGTGACTACAGCAAAACTGGCCATGGGCGAGTACAGGCCTTTCTGTCTTCCCTTTCTACTCTTGAAATGAGAGCCTTCTGCATAGAATAAAGAAGAAAAATCAACCTTTGTTTTGGGAAGTTGAGTAGTCAGCTTTCAGAGATTTCTTCTGTGCCCCCACTTGTGTCACAGACATGAAATGGTCTGCTGCTTATAGGTGCACTGTGGGGGACATCTTAAGTGAGGCTCAAGATAAAGGAAAGAACAACTGCCAACTGCAATTTGAGGAATTCTTGTGGCCTAGGAGAAAGATATATAAATTACAGGTATTAGTAGAGATTGCAAGCTATTTGGGAGAAAATAAATCTTCACTTTACACATCTTATACCAAAAACCATAAGAAAGAAAACTCCAAAAAATAATTAAGAATGTGAATTTTTACCAAATTTAGCAAAAGGAAAAACCTTCTCAGCATAAAAGCAATGGAGGAAGTTGCAAAGGAAAAAGAGGTTTATGAAATAAATTTACAAAAACCATAAGAAAGAAAACTCCAAAAAATAATTAAGAATGTGAATTTTTACCAAATTTAGCAAAAGGAAAAACTTTCTCAGCATAAAAGCAATGGAGGAAGTTGCAAAGGAAAAAGAGGTTTATGAAATAAATTTAAAATAGCTTATGCACAAAAAAGCTATAAAAAGAAAATGACACATTGAGGAAACTATTTGAAAAATATGGCAGACATGTCTAATGTAGAAATCAATAAGAAAAATACTAACTAATAGAAAAATGGGCAAAAGACAGGAACAGATAATTCACAGAAGGAGAAATTTAACAGCCAATACATATTTGGAAATGTGTGAAAACTTCAGTTAACAATAAATGCAAATTAAAACAAGGAATTTTGATTTTTGACTCTCAAATAGGAAAGCAATTTAAAGCAATTTATACTTAAAGCTGACAAGTGTGGAATAAGTTGGGAACTCTTACATTACTGCTGGGAGAATAACTTGTAACCCTTCTGGAAAGTTGTTTGGCAGTGTGCATTGGGAGACTTCCCACTTCTAGAAATTCAACCTAAGGAAATACTCAGTAATGCAGCCAGATATATGTGCAAAGGTTTCTATGTATTGTTATTTACAATAGCAGAAAATTAATATGCTGTGTAGTGAAGAATTAGAAACATCAATTGTGGTCACTCTACAACTATCATTTTTTTGAGGACTATTTATGGACATAGAAATACTCATATTTAATGTTATGTGGAAAAAGCACAGTGAGCCTTGTAATGCTTATGTGACAGCTGATCTAGAAATAATCCTTTGCAGTCATAATAATAGCAGTAGTAATAGCTGACATTTGTTTATTAAGCGCTTGCTTTGTGGAAGGCACCCTGCTCTAAGTGCTTTACACACTTAGCTAATTTAATTTTCACAACCCCAGGAGGTAGACCCTATTATCGTCCTCATTTTACCAGTGAGGAAACTGAGCTCCAGAAAGGTTAAGTATTTATCCGAGGTGAAGTGGCTGGTCAGTGAGAAGGGTAGGATTAGAACCCGGGCAGTCTCTCTCTTGATAGCCTGGCTCTCGTTTTCTTTACAAATTCAACCTAATTGATTAATGACAATATAGACGCTAGAGGAGAAAAGACAAGAGTACTTAAAATGTCTCTAGTCAGAGCTTTGAAGTCTGTTTTATGAAAACCTGTATATTTTCTTTCTTTTTTTTTTTTTTCCTTTTTTTGTCTTTTTTCGTGACCGGTAACTGGATCGCAACCCTCGGTGTCGCGCCCGCACCACGCTCAATCAGTGAGCGGACTGGTCTCTATATGGGATCCGAACCCTCGGCGGGAGCACCGCTGCACTCTACCGAGTGCGCCACCAGGCCGGCCCTAGACCTGTATATTTTCATTCTTTTTTTTTTTTTTTCCTTTTTGTCTTTTTTCATGACCAGTAACGGGATCACAACCCTCAGTGTCACGCCCATACCGCGACCGGCAACGGGATCACAACCCTCAGTGTCGCTCCCGCACCGCGCTCAACCAGTGAGCGGACTGGTGTCTATATGGGATTCGAACCCTCGGCGGGAGCGCTGCTGCGCTCCCAAACGCCGTACTCTACCGAATGCGCCACCGGGCCGGCCCAATATTTTCATTCTTTTTTTTTTTTTTTTCCTTTTTGTCTTTTTTCGTGACCGGCAATGGGACTGCAACCCTCGGTGTTGCGCCTGCACCACACTCAACCAGTGAGCTGACCGGTCTCTATATGGGATCCGAACCCTCGGCAGGAGCGCCGCCGCGTTCTCAAGCGCCGCACTCTATCGAGTGCGCCACCGGGCCGGCCCCTATATTTTCATTCTTTAAGGGAGAAATCTTCTCTTTGTGTCCTTGGTGTGTTCCCCAGTGACATCATCAGACATATACATTTACAAAAGTGTATTCATCTTGATTGTTGTCAATTATAACAAATATGCAATTGGGCTGAAGTTAAGTATTCGTGTTCCTCTTAAACAGACGAGAATCCCAAGCAGCACATACCCCTGCATGAGTATGTTGCAAATTTAAAGAGCATGGTGCAGTACCTAAAGTCTGTGGACGTCCCTGAAAGTCACGTCATTCTCATCACGCCGCCCCCTCTTTGTGAAGCAGCCTGGGAAAACGAGTGCATCATGCAGGGTAAGCGAGCCACAGCCAATCGCATTAGTCTGGATAGCAGTGCTCAGAGAAGAACTTGGATAGGACAGTCGTGTCCTGCTTGTGGGCCTCACTTTCCAGGGGTGGAAGTGGGGGGTTGTAAATCCCTATCAGTCTGTGTTTCTAGTCAACTGAAGTTAAAACAAAAATAGGAAAGCTTCCGTTATCTCGCATCTGAGATCTTTTTTTTTTTTTTGTCTTTTTTCGTGTCCGGCAACGGATCGCAACCCTCGGTGTTGCTCCCGCGCCTCGCTCAGCCAGTGAGCGGGAACCGGTCTGTATGTGGGATCCAAACCCTCGGGCGGGCCCGCCGCCACCGTTGCACCGCAGAGCGCCCGC